CTTCCCTTGCAAAAGTGGGTTTGATATGCTGTGCTACACAGGACTGACAAAAGGTACCGTTGGGAGGAACTTTCAAGGTAGTAGGATAACATTTTTTCAGTTAAGTGGGGTCTGCGTGAGTGTGTGTGTGTGTGTGTGTGTGTGTGTGTGTGTGTGTGTGTGTGATCTATTTTTTTTACCTTTTGGGTCTTGGCCAGTGCATCCCCCCCCCAGCACATCCCCCTTACTGCCTCGAGAAAGAGACGTAGTGCAGAAAGACTGAAAACTGGGGTTTCCAGAAGAATGAGGATATGGGGAAACAGCTAGGCTCTGGCGAGACGTGAGCCTGGGAGGAGAAGGGAAGGGGAAATGTCTCTGCTTCCCTCTGTCACAGAGACCCTCCCGCCCAGGTCCTCCTGGGAAAGCCCCGTGGAGGGGTGAGGCCTCAGGAAGAGGCTGGTTCCTAAAATCAGCCTGCCTGAGGGTGGTTTCCAGCCTCCGGCCCGCCCTGTGTGACCCCAAATTCCTCATCTGTAAAATGGGGGAAATGATAGCGCCTGCCTCGTCGGGATGCCGATCGTCAGGATGAAATGAGTCAACACACACGGACGTGCCAAGGACGGGGCCGGGCACCGAGCGAGCCCTCGCTGCGTTACGGACACGTTACTGCTCTCTTCTCCGGCCCGGCCACGGCCTCTGGCTCTGCCGCTGCCGTGGCTGCTTCTAGGCCTCCATGCTGGCGCCTCTCCCTTCACCTGCCCCCAGCTCGCACGGCTCCTGAGGATTCTACTCTAGGGCTGGCTCCCTCTCCTTCCCGCGGGGCCGCTGCAGAGCCTTAATTCTCCGGCGTGTATTTTCAACCCCTAGCTCATCCCCAGGCCTCCCTGTGCCCACCTGCCCCTGGATGCTGACACTCTCACCTCCTGCCTCCTGCCTCCTCCTGTCCCCTATAACCCTCTCCGTAATGACGGTAATGGCGTCGTCACACGCCCAGCCCACGGACCACCCCTCTCCACGGCTGCTGACATTGTCCCTACTACTTCCTCCAAAAAGCTCTCCAACAAGCCCCGTGACACCACACCCTCCCCATGGCAACAGTGCAGCTGAGAGGCAGGATTGACTACAGTGGGCAGAATGGTCCCCAAAAGAGATCTACACCCCAAATCTGGATCCTGCGAGGATGCTCTGCTACAGGGCACAAGGGACCGTGCAGATGTAAAGGTTACTAGTCTGTGATCTTAAGAGAGGGAGAGCATCCTGGACTGTCCAGGTGCGACTAATCTAATCCCATGAACCCTTAAAAGCAAAGAACTTTCTCTGGCTGGAGTTGGACAGATGAGTCAGAACAAGGGATTAGAGAGATCTGTTGGTTTTCTTTCGTTTTAAGTATTTTTGAGAGAGTGGGAGTGAAGTGGGGAGGGGCAGAGAGAGAGGGAGACACAGAATCCAAAGCAGGCTCCAGGCTCCGAGCCGTCAGCACAAGGCCCAACGCGGGGCTCGAACTCATGAACTGCGAGATCATGACCTGAGCCGAAGCCGAAGTCGCTTAACCAACTGAGCCACCCAGGCACCCCAGG